CTGACTTTTTTGTGTTAGATGCACAATTACTAGACTAAATGTTTTTAGAAGTTATAATAGTAAGATAAATGCATTTATAATCAACTTTGCGGTAATATCTACAGTATACATACCATAGCCTCACGTAAAAATTAATAGAATAAGACGAATTCTCATTTCTAACCTGCAATGCAATAATTGCTTTTCAAATACTCCGGCCACTATTTTAATGCCAGAGAAACTACAACTCCATATTTCTAGATATACTAAATGATCATAAGCGTTTTCTAAAAATATCTGGACCAGTCACAGTGGCTACAGTATCCATCAACCAATAATGATCGCCGTATATGGAGCTACGCCAACTTTCATATTCAAGTACTAGATTACTAGGAGTTTATAAATTATCATAACTGCTAATATGAACATAACAGGTAGACTCATAAAGCCTCAAAACTTTGGTTTCTTGAACAATAATCATTAAATTTTCAAAGACTTTTTTCTACACAAAAAATTTTATTTTTAAACCACTAAACTGCTTTAAAATATGCATCTCGATAGTTTCAATCGTTGACATTTCATTTAATTCGTTCACTTCTAAATACGACCTTGCAAATGCAGTAGGACGGCTTTTTTGACGGAAAACTGTGTATCACTTAGATCAGTTCTAAGCAGATTTAACCGTTTTTGAGTTACATATATCAGAACCTGTTGGAAGGCAATGATTCTTTGAAAAAAAAACTCAAATCTTCTTCCTTTCAAACTTCCTCTTCCTACTCTTTAAACCACTTTTTTCAATCATGCAGTTTTCATATATTTTTAATTATTATCACGCTCTAGGCTTGACGCAAATACATTAATAAATAAAATTAAATAATATAAATCTAAAATTTTTTCATTACTCACAGACACTTTTCATGATGAATAACAACAATATGAATGAATATAATAGTTCTTTGGCATTTTGACTATTAACTATTCTGTAAAGGTGAAAATTTCGTAGTTAATGAATATTATTGATGTAGGAGATAAGGGAGTCGAAATAGTGTTGAAGTTGCGCTGATTTTCCATTTATGGATTTAAAAAATAAGAAAGAATGAAATTAGTCAAAAACTTTCCTATTTTTTGAATGAGAAGGGTCGTAGCTTTTTGCCTCTTAATTTGTTCTTTCCACATTTAAGAAAAGAGACATTTTTAGAATGAGGGTAAAAGTATAACTATTACGTAGAATATGCGAGAAATATAACGTTAGCACTATATGGCAAAAATGGTGGCAGGGCTGCACTGAAAACTTCATGATATTAGCCCTAATAAAAAAAGTAGCTTTTCTTCTTGAATTTGAAAGCACACTTCAAAAAAATCAGGGAAAAGATTACCGAGGGGCGAGCCTATTGTTAGATTCAGCACGTCAGTAAAATCTACGAATTATTAGCGCACCTCCCGACGAGTTTACCCTTTAGAAAATTAAACTTTTTTGATTTACGTATAGCCTTTGTAATTCCTTAAAATCAGTCTCTATTGTTTTCTTCCCTTCACCCCAAAAATACTCCTTAGATCGATAATACCTAACGATTAGTTGCGCTAATCGGCTATAATTGCCGCCGCCGCCTAATTACAGGGTTAAAGGTTACCTTCAACTTTTGCCCTCCTCCTCTGCAACCATGCATATAGCACGAAAAAAAAGCATCAATGGCACTACTGTCATAGAGGAGATGTTTTTCCTGGCACGATACCCTTGAGATTCCAGTTTTTACTCGCTTACAAGTCGCAAATCTTGCGTGAAATATAAACATTTGCAATGGGATTTTGGACCAGTTGTCCTCTTTGCAGATCCTCGTGCAAGGACATAACCAAACACTGCCTTGACATTTATTATATCGTATAAGTTTTTGAGGTTATGAAACGATACGCAGCGTAGTTTTTATGTCAAACAAGATGCGTTTAGGCGTGTATTGTACGTAACGACGGCATAATGCGGATTTGCGCGGTTTTTTTTTTGCGTGAATAGTATCCGCATTGTGCAGGAGTTTGTGTGCTAAGGATAGAATTTGAGGAATCTGAGTCCTAGACGCCGTGAGATTTACGATATAAGGAGCTACATCGTGAAATCACGACCTAGTAGAGACTTCAAAGTGGAGTACAGACATATTGCTTTTACGGAATTTTTAGGAATTTTAGGCGGGAAGATGTACTTCCATCGTAGCCAGCATAAAGTGCGATAAATTCTCATAAAAATAATTATCGAAAACGTCTGATTTCTATTTTCTTTG